GTAAACAATTACCAAACAATTATATTTCATTTTGCACTATATCATAAGAGCCTCTTAATCATTCTGACCATTTAATAATTTTGTACAAAACCATTCAGCAACTACCAAACAGCTTCTAAAGCTGAAATCATTTGCGTGTGTTTCTTACCATATCCGTCTTTGTTCTTTCTATTGCCACTCAACATCAATAAGTTGGATGACAAACAACAACTAAAAAAATATAAAATATTATAAATATAAAAAAAATTTGCTTTTCTAAATTTGTAACTACAAATCATTTTCTACGAGCTGTACCTCCTGTACTTTTAGGTGTAGCTTGTAGTTTTCCACTAAAAATAAAATAAATTCTAAGTTTTAAATTAAAAACAGTCTGTTTGATAAAAACTCAGATATAATAACTAACAAAGAATAGATTGAGAAACATTAAATAATTTGCGTAAAGAACTAGATATATGTCTAAATGCTTATCTTACTTACATTCTAGCTTTATTTCAAATATTCACTCATTATTGATGATTTAGTCATATACTCTTATTTTAGGGCTTCTGAACATAAAATGAAAATTACTCTATAGCGATTATATATCAAATATATTTTCCATAGTCAAACTTGTTTTTTTAATGTATTTCATGTGGATTGACCAAAATATGGAAAAATGCTATACGATATATTATGAGACATTGTTGACCTAAATTTCGGGTCGTGGCATGTTGGGATATTTATGACACATAACGAGTATAGCAGTTGGATCATTAGTTTAACGTCAAAATGAGAAGTAGTTGCTATTACCTAGATCATGTAAATATTCCTATTTGTTATAGTATGCTTGGGTGAATCCTTTGAGTTGGCATTAGGGAGGTTGAGTCTGGAAGTGTTGTCTTGGTGACATACCAGGATCTCCGCCGCTTGAGGTAACGCCTTGGAGGTAGTCCTTAAGTGCGCCTGGTCTTGAAGTAGACACTAAGGTCAACCGCCTCTTGCGGTAAGACTTGATAGGATGATACAAGTCTCCCTCGTTGATTCCAAATGAATGTAATAACTGATTTCAACTAATAAATCGTGTTTGTCTATGCTTTGTTCTTGCTCACTAGGCTTTTTGGCTTAACACTTGTTGTGTTGACGTGTATCTCAGGTTCTAATGGCGTGGGGTTCAATAAAGTTTGACTAGCCTATAGAGTGAGCTTGGGGAGCATTTTGGGTCACTACGCAGTGATTAACGTTTTGAAGGTTTGTGATGACTCTCGGTTGTAATCTAGTTCTTTAAGGATTAGTTTACTTAAGTATCAATTTTTTCCCAAAAGAGTCCTACCTCCCTCTTTCTTTCTTATCTTTTCCATCCTCATCATTATCGAGAGAAAAATAAAAAACATTCATAACTATTCCTTCTTGAAACTTTTTTTATAGAAAATAAAATCATACAAGGGAAACAGAGGAGATAATACTCAAGCTCAAGGTTGAGGTTCCACAAACTGAATGTAAGAATTTGTGTTTATTTTGTCAAAAGTGTACAAGAAAACATGCATTTGAGTGGTAATGAGTCAAATTCATTCACATATGAGGTTTGAAAGTTGGAGTTTTATGAAATTGAATTGCTGATGATGTTAGTCCATTAGTCAAACATGTTTAGAAGAAATATGCATGCTAATAATGATTAATGTCAGTATTGCTAGAAAGAGTGAATACAAATTTAATAATTTATGATGATTTCAGATTGCTATGTACAATAAAATTTAGGGTACATATACAATTTTGAGTTTGGTGACGTTCATCAAAGTGCTGTAGCGTGTTCCAACATGTGCTATTTTTGATACACCAAAAATCACTTTAACTTAGGCAGTGGCTTGGTTAAGGGAACCCACCGGAGCCGTAGCGAAAGCGAGTCTTCATAGGGCAATTGTCACTACTTATGGATCCGAACCTGAGTGATCTATCCATGACCAGGATGAAGCTTGGGTGAAACTAAGTGTATCGATTGTAGATGGTTTGTTGCCATATTATAGCACTTTAACTTTTTAATACATTTGTTGGAGATACCCTAAGCTCTTACAAGTTGTTAAACTCTTTTTTGGTTTTATAAAAATATTCAATTTGATCCTTCAATTTTGTAAATGTTCAAATGCACCCTTATATTTTCAAATCCCCATGAGTACCCTTCAAAATTCAACGGATGCACCTTTCAGGCCCTAAAGAATTTCTTTTATGATAATTGATTGAGAAGTAGCATGTGACCCCTCGGCCCTTACTAGGTTTGCGCTTGAGTCACACCCATTTTGAATCCGAATCTAAAAATCCAACCACACACATTGCATACATTTTAATCATTAGCCTTCGTCTATGGAATTATAGCAAAATGAGTGTTTCTATCACTATAATGGTTTTCAATCTTTTTCAAGAGCATCCAGAAGATGGTCCAAATTCTTGAGAAAAATAGGAAATATTTTGTGTGTTAGTGTCATCACTAGTTACTCCCTAACCATCCTTTCTAATCAACAAGGTAAGTTTATATATCTATATATATATATATATATATATATATATATATGTATGTATGTATGTATGTATGTATGTATGTATGTATGTATGTATGTATGTATGTATGTGTGTGTGTATGTGTGTGTAAAAAAAATTAAGAAACTTGTTCTTGATTTGGAAAATGACTACATAGGTCTTAATTGATTTGTGTTCTAAAATGGGGGTTTGGTCTTTTTTATTGGATCTTGTGGGAACACATTGATTTTGTTTTCGCCTTTTGCTACTGAAAACTGGAAACTTTCCTCGTATCCATTGAAGATGAGGGAATGGGTACGGGTGGTTAAGAGTGGTGGGGAGGATACAGTCACGACAACTGTTAGGGGAGGGGGAGAAACATATGCAGTCCAATCATGGTATTTGGAGGAGAAACAAAAGTGGTGGTCGAAAAAAAAAACATATACAATTGAGCCATGGCGAAAGGAGCAATTGTGATGGCGAAGTCATGGGAATAAGAGAAGGGAAAAAGAGTTCTTTTTGTTTTATTAAAATGCTAATCACACTTCTATGTATGCCATACAATCTTGTACACTAGCATTTTCAATTAAAATAATACAAAGTGATCAAAATACACATAATTAATAACATTACAACTAACAGTGTTAGGGGCTGTTTGGCAATTGTTGAATGGTTTGATGCATAATGATTAAGTGGTCAGAATAATTAAGAGGCTCTCATTATATAGTGTAAAATGAAATATAATTGTTTGGTAATTGTGTACAATGAAATTAGGGCTCTTAATGGTTAAGGGAGATCCAAGATACAAAATTATTAAGAGGGTTTTAAAACCATTAAGAGGCAGACATTTTTTTTGTCAAACAAGATTCACCTTTTAACGATTCAGATATTACCTCTTAATTGAACTATTAAGAGGTAAACAAACAACCCCTTAGTGTTAAGGATTAGTTGCAAAACAAAATGTGTACCACCCATGGGACCATTCTTGCACTTTTTGCTTGTGAGCAATCACTTTCATAGTGTTTCATAAACCACAGGGACCAAAACTGTAGTTTACTTTAACAGAAAAATTAAACCACTGACCCACAATCCAATCCAACATCTTACACCGGCAAGGGATTGTAGGAGCCTTCCTATTCCGTTTCCCTGCCGCCGCTTCCTTGCTGCTCGTCGCCGTCTCCTCCACCAACTCGACGCCGTCTCCTCTCTGCTGGTCTCGAACATAACAGGTACCCCCAAAGCCTGATATATTCACTTCTAGTCCAGATCTGTTGTTGTTTGAAACCCTGTACATGTTTTATTTGTGTAAAGGATTGAAGTTGAATTTGTTGTGGTTTTTGATTTCCCTGAAGGTTGTGATTTTTGGTCCGATTAATGGTATGCCGAATATGATAGGTTATGATAAGTGTTCTTGTGTGCGTCAGTTACGTTGTGGGGCTAATGATTTTAATTTGATCTTTGTTTTCCCCAATTCATGTTATCATATTACCTGTACAAGGATTTTGCCCAAATGTTTAACTGTCTTATATCTCCTTCTGATGATAAACCTCAGAAACCAGCAGTCCGGTTGTTGATCCTCTCGTTGAAGAGTCTTCAACCAAACCTGTGTGTAATTGGAACCCTAGATGCAGATGCTGCACTGGCTAATCTATTAAACATGTTTGTTTGACTATTTTGAAAATGCTTTATTGTGCCCAATCTTCATTTTCTCAACTTATATTTGAAACCAAGTTTAGATCCATTATCGAACAAAACCGAACATAAAAAAGGTTCTCTCTGTACAAATTTCCATTGAAACACATACGGAATATTGTTTGGTTATAACCACTAAGGGGGATGTGGAAAATCTCATCTACCCATGTTCGAATCCCAGGAGCTGCCAAAGACCTCATGGCCATGGAGGTTCACTTGCAATGAGTCCAGGCCATTCGTGGTCGCCTAGGGGATTAGTCGGTGCACGTAAGCTGGCTCGAAAACCCACGGTTACCCAAATGTTTATATATATGTATTATTTGGTTATTACACAACATTCTTATACCTATTGTAAACTTATTCCTTCATCCGAATCTTTGATTTTGCATAAAACACTTCTGTTTTAGTTTCCAAACAAATGTGTTATAGATTTCCTCCACCAAATGTGTTTTGATGTAAGGTTTCTTATTAGAGCACTTGAACACCTTCTTTACGTTCCCGCAAATCCAAACACACCACGTTTATACCCGTTTCTATGTTAAAACAAGCGTTTCAAACCAAGAACTCAGTTTGACTTGTATAAAAGGTCAAATTGTTTCGATATTTCTTGAATAGAATCCCTAATTAATCACCCATACAACTTTGATCCTCTATTTGCATTTATTAGCTGGAATATGATCTGAAAATCTTTAGGATGTGAAAGGATATCTTGTATTACTCGGATGCATTCCATCTTCAAACATTTTTCAACTAAAAGAATTTTATGTTTTTATTTAAGATGAAAGGAGTACTAACATATAATTTCGTAAATGTGAAGTTTTGGAAGAGGTAGTTGATGAAATAAAACAACAGCAGCATGGCACCATCGACCTCGTCTGCCGCCTCCGCAGGTGTTCCAACGCCAAAACAATCACTTGGGTTTGTCGCCAATGCAATCAAAAGAAAAGACAGCTTCATCCAGTTCTTCGCCATGACTGGAATCTTGCTGCTAAGCATGCGATCGGTCGGGCAAAAATACAAAATCCAAGAACTCGAGGATGATACAGCTGCCTTGGAGAAAGAGAAAAATTCCATCTCCGATCGCATCAATCACATCAAAAGCAGCCTTCTCGCTGAAGCCGCCCTCGATACCAGCGGCTCCTTTGCCGCCAGGCTCCGCGTTCTCTTTGGCGACAATAATTAACATGCGAGTCAAAAACTTTACGCCTTTTAATCTACTCGTTGATTCATCATAAACTTTGAGGTGCATCAAAATTTGTTAGATGTAGGGATTATTCTTTGGTGCAGCAATATATGAACTCTGAACAAAATTCATGTCTGATGCTTGTAAACGCAATTTATATAAAAGAAAATTTGGAAAATAATTGTTGATTTAGTACTCAAGTTTTTAGTGATGCATAATCTATGTAATACATGTTTCATATCTCTAGCATCATCTCAAGGGACGCAATTATGCTGCAAGTGTCTGCACCGTGCTTTATTATTATTATTATTATTATTTTGTATGATCAAAGGTCATATACTCCATCTTTGGACGATTTTTTTTTAGTAAGGTGTCATTTATGAATCGTTTATCCATGTAAGTGATTACCGGCAAAATTCAACACTTACTCACCGGGTAAAATTTTAGTTCACTGGAGCAGTATCGTATGCAACAATTTACCAGTAAGCGCTAACCATAGTAAGAGTCATCACACTCACTAGTTGAGACTCTCAGTCCTCGCCTTTGCTTTTAACGGGTAAGATTTCTGGTTCTTGTCATATTCATTTGATAAAGTAATGTACCTTCGTAAACTCTTATCTGGGCTTCTAATGCAACAAAGGGCCTTTGGCCTAGCGGTATCGTAGCAATTGGCCTTCTAGGAGGTCAAGGATTCAAACCTCACCATAGGTGAGGAGGGTGTGTGAATTTATTTGTTGCATTTGCCGTATATAAATATTATATACTTCAAAAAAAAATCAGTCAATAAAGGCTTCATTGCATATGCACACAGGGATTCAATACTCGATAAGGGTACATTGCAAGATAGTAGAAGTATTACTTGGGATGCGAATCAAGGTAAGATAAAACCTATCATATAAATTTTCGCTCTCAGTTCTCATATTATCGATTTGTTAAGGTTGATAATTCATCGCTTTCTTTGAGGTATGTTTCGGGGACGTTTAGAATTTGTTTAAAGGCATGTCGTGTACTCAACCAACGGACAAGTATAACACTAGTTACTATGGTTACAAGTTGAATCTTTTCCAACAAGAATACACACACACACACACATATATATATATGGTTAGGTTCACGTGAGACCAAGATTTTTTCGTGAGACCCGTAAGACCAAGTTATGTTTGTTGATCAACTTTATAAACTAATAATCTAATGGTCTAAAATCGTACGGTGGCAATTTTATAATTATGAATGTTTAGATTATAGATCTAATCCAAGGGTTGAGAATTGGTCTTACGAATCTTACGAAAAATGTTTGGTCTCACATGATCTCAAATCTATATATATGTTTTAGATTTAAGTAAATAAAATTACTAGATCGTTAAAAATAAAAATATATCATATAAATAAAGCCGTACTCAAATTACCGACACTTTCCACTTGAGCAATACCAAGGTCAATAATCTAATTTTGATTTTCTAAATAAACTATCATCACATATGTTGAAACCAAAAATTCACTTACAGATAACACTTTACACATTCCCTTTGTATATTGAATGCACCCCTTTCCAAAAAATGGATTTGGTTGAGGAGATTAGGGTATTTTGGTCAATTTCCTATTAAAAAAACAATCATATTCTCAAACCTATCAAATTGATGGTCAGTGAATTTAAAAAAAATATGTTAAAAAGACTATTTACCCAGAGGACTATCCCATCCTTTTGTTTTGTTTTGTGCTCAAGTAACATCCAATACGGCAATTGGCCATTTAAGAAGTTTAAAATGTTCACATAAGATGGATTTTTAACTGTTTCCAGATAGTAACAGAGTGCCAAAATCATTCCACCAATATCCATTCCTCATTTTCTTTTTCTTTTTCCAGTAACACATTGGATCTCTTCTCTCACATGAATGCCTCAAAATGTTTAAAGTTGAAGATCAAAAGAAGCAATCACTTCTTGCTCTTGGTTTTCAACTTCTTATTTGATGGCTGACCTGATGATGATGATGTTGCAATATACATTTCAGCATCAATCTTATCACCAGATTTTCTATTCCCAAACTCCTTTGCCTTGTTCTGCAATATTTAACAATTTTAACCCCCATTAAAATCAAACCAAAACCATCATCATATCATCTGAAATCTTACTCTTACCTTCAGGGATGTAGCCATTGCAACAATATCATCCTTATCGTTTTTACCCTTCTCTTGCACTGGTGCTTCCTGAAAATCCGGAAAGCGTTTTTATAACAACCGGTAAAGAATCAAGCAAAAATGCATACAGGGTGGTTGCTGCTACCTCTGGTGGCTTAAACGCTTCTTCCCTCTTCCTCTTGTTTTCAGCTGTTTTTTCCGCCTGTTTTTCCTGCCTTTCTTGCCATTTCTTTGCAGACTTCTTTTTATCACTTAAAAAGTATTCACCACTGTCTAGTTGCATGTCGATCTAGAAACATTTAAAAGCATGTTTATTTAACACAATCACTAAAGAAAACAATGAGAGAAAAAAATTAATAAAAATCAATTTCCGTAACCTTGCTTGGTTGTGGCGGAGGAGGGAAAGGAGTATATTCTTTCTTCTCTTTGCTCTTAACTTTCTTTTGTTTGACATTTTTCCTGAAAACCGAATCATCACTTGTTAGATTCTGCAAACACGAACCATGCCAAATTTAAAAAACATTATTATTATATAACATACTTTTTGAATTTGGGAAGAAACCTATCCCAGTTCTCATTTGCAAGTTCTGGGTTACTTGCAAGATCTCTCCTCATCATGAGCACCTAATTAAATAATATACACATTTAATCATGTTTTTTTAAACAGAAGGTTAAATAATAATTACATGTTTCTTTAAGAAAAGATCCGATAGTTACTCACTTTGATATTATATAAGGGATGCATTTTATTCAACATGCATTCTTCTACTATCCTCCTTACTTGTTTCAAGCCTTTAAATGAACCCATGGAAGCTACTGAGTTTCCCTGTGCATTATTAACAAATAGAAAGCAAAGAAAAGGGTTAAAACTAGAGAAAGATAGATTCTACTTGTAGACGTTCCGAATTATAGATTTTTCATTTTAAGCAGAAGAAAAGAATCCAAGAAGCTATACCTGAACAAGAATATAGCAGCCAGTCAAAATCTCCAGTGCCTGCATTCCAACAAGATTCTCAGAGAAGCAACAAACATATGAATGGTGTATATATATATATATATACTCCCTCCGTCCCAAAATAAATGTCCACATTTCTATTTATATTTGTCCCTGAATAAGTGTCCACTTTCAACAGTGTCCACAAATATTTAAGAGTTGCGAAAAGAGAAAAACCAAATAAGAGAAAAGATGTCATTTGGTTAACCAAAAAGTGTAATAATTATGCATCCCTAAAACTGTGTGCCATTTCGATTGTGGACACTTATTTTGGGACAGAGGAAATATATAAGAAAGTATGTTATGTAAAACGTTAACGAGAAAACTAGTCAAATTTCATACCTTTAGAGTGGACGAATTGGGTCCCACCAGCCGCTGCCTTCGTTTGACAAATTTTTCCTGCAATTGGAAGACGGTTGTTTTCAGAATTTAATTAAAAGATTCAAGTACATAGATGTTATTCATAACCCAAAGTTTTCTTTATCCCCGTGTGTGCATACTTCCACTTCTACATAGCATAAGATAACAATTACTTTGGATGACAAAGACGCAAGTCAAATATCAGCCATGGATACCTTATTTCGAACCAAACCACCAATCTTGATGATATCACACTGCATTTCATCATTTAGAATCTTAATTGCCTGTGACAACAATCACTTTTGTGTAAGCATTTCGCATGTAACAGAGTTTAAATATCAATAAAAAAGCACTACATGTACCTGAGGTGCAGGGACACTTCTTGACAAAAGCTTAATCAAATCCCGAGATTTCACTATAATATATGGATCCTTTGTCTTTCTCGTTGTAGAAACAGTCATTGATCCTTTAACCTGAACATCAGAAAGTGCTCGATATCAACAATTGCCACAAATAAAAACTAATTTGTAGTTGCACCACCAACAAATTTCCGATCACGAACCAAATCCAGCTCACATGAAATCCCATGTTCTTTTAGTGCACCTTTAACAATAGGCCAAGCTTCTTGCAAATACTTCTCTGCATACAGAACATCCTTATTTTAGTCACTATGATTACCCTCACTACAATAAAATCAGGTTTATAGAACATCAACGATTTCTCGGTGTCCCAGTAGACCACTTTGTAGGACTTAAGTTTATAGAACTAAATAATAGAACGTCTTATCTAAAGGTGTTATTACAGGATGTTTTTGGGCGTCTTTAAGTTTTTTAGGATACTTCCAATATGAGGTCGTATTAGCTATTTTATAGTACACTTTTGAGAAGTGCCCTGTGTTCAGTGTCCTATTCAAATAGTGTCATGTAAAATAGCTAATACGACAGTTTTATTAAAAAAAATGTCCTAGAAACTTGTTACAATGCCAAAAGCGTCTTATAAACTTATTACAACACCTTTAGATATGGCACTTTATCGTGTGGTCATTTTTGGCGTTCTATAAACCCAATTTCGGTGTAGTGTCTTTTATCTTATATGAACAAGAAGGTATCAATGGAGAAGTAACTATATAGAATAAATAAATTCTCTACAATTTCTTACATAAAGTTTGATGATTTGAAGAAGGGTAAGAAAAAAAGTTACGAGCCAAAAACTGCAAATTCCTAAAAGGAATGGGTTAGAAGACGTAAAATAGTAAATGCAGTGAGTACCTCTATATTGAGGGAAGAGAGTGGAGAAAGAGCTCATTTCAAGCAAACCCCCTTCATTCCAAGAAGGGTCAAACTTTTCAATCTTCCAATGGTCAATGGTCTCATCGTCCCATGGCTTTGGCTTGTCATGCTTCCCCTTGTGTCTCTTTCTCTCATCAGGGTTGTTGTCTGTTACTTCTCCGGCATCCATACTTTTCAGGTCTGATATTAAATGGCAAAACAAACTCTAGAGATCTGAATACAAGATTATGTAACACCCCTTCTTGCTACTGAAAAGGGAGATCAAGCAAAGCATTATAAACCTTTACAACAAAAACATAATTCCAAAACTTATAAACAACCCATTCAAGTCAAGGATCCTCGATTAATCCAACTTACAAAAACATATGCTATTCAAGATGTAAATAGATGCACCTACCACATATATAACTAGGTTAACTAATTTTAATTGTCCTCACTTTCTACCAAATGGTCCCACTCAGGCACTCAAATAATAATACACCAGATATACACCTTCAAGTGTAACTGTAGCCAAAATCAGAAGATGTGTATGGCACTACATCACACAATTGCAGAACAAAGGATAACAAACCGAAATAAAAACTATGGTCGCCGGATAAAATAATAATTTCCAACTATTATTTCTTCCAAAATATAGGACCTCCTTCATATCTCTTTATAGATGCAATGATACCCAACGAAGAAGAATCATCCAGCATAAAGTTTATCAAACCCTCCAAAAATAAGAAATTATAATCTACGCATAATAGAAGTGACCATAAGAAAAACCGTTACTCAAATTTTCTCCAAAGTCGTGACGATAGATGCCAATGCTTCACTTCAAAAAAAAACTTCGGTTATGAAGTTTATGTAAAACCAAAGGCATAGATGCCATCCATTTCCATGTGTCTTCTCTTATGACCACAACCAATTTTATTCTTGGAACATTTACAATATGCTCAAGGTTTTAACCAAAAAAAAGGTTTGTGTGTGAAATGCTCCTCATAAAACTTTTGTTTTCCCTACTTATTAGAACAGTTTTAAATTCTAATATGCTACTAAAGAACTTGATAGCAAGTTCTCTTTGACAGATTTAAAACTATGTTGTTACAGCGGTCAGATAGTCGCAGTCATGACTATGATTTGAAATTGTGGTTATTGTGATGGTAAAGCCGTCCAAAAATAGTGGTTCATATAATAATTAGAATTATAATATATATGTGTGTGTGCATGTATGTATGTATGTCTTGGCAGTCAAAAGTCCATCTAGCAGTGATTGAAATTGCATATCAATATGTATGTGTAGGCAGCTAAATACGTGCTCCTAACAATTAAAAAGAAATAATCAAAGTCCCAGATCACTTATGAAGTCAAAATAAACTAAATACAGCTTCAAAATTGACATCATTTTGAAACATTGTTGAGCAACTTCTGAACTCAGAAGTCGTGAACTTCAGAAATGTTAATCTAAACCTAAAAGAGCTCGACACCGCTAGTTTGCACGCTACTCTCCCGAGGACTGCTAACCGCTATAGCAGCGCGATTAACATCGTTTTTAAATTCATGAAAAATTGAGCAATGAGAAGGCAAAGTTCACAGAGGGGTTAATATGCTACTCAACTTCGGTATGTCAAATGGTTGAGTTTGAGGTAGGCATATGCAAAGAAGTTGCAGCAAGGTGTGGGATTTTTGCTTCAAAGTTCACATGCACAATTATGCCAAAATTAGTTTCTTTAAAATGCACGCCCAAATAGCAATCAATAATCAAAATCAACTTCATCAAATAAACCTAGTCTAAAATCATAACTTCATCAAGAAATACAATAAAAAATCAACTCAAAGAAACAAGACATTAACCGATAAACATCAAATAAACCTCATGTCAAGAAGCTATCATCTATCAAAAATCAAAAGTTTTAGGATTAAGGGATCAAAAATTTATCAATTGATGATGCTTAATGCTTTGCAAATGACACTAGTGCATGTACAATCGAAAACTACCTTCACCTAAACAACATTCTAGATATTTGATGGAAATTGTCCAGGGCCGGTCCTGAGATTTGAGATGCCCATGGCGAAAAGCCAAAAAAAGTCCCCCTAATATGTGATATAAAAACCAAAATGAACTATTTTTGACAGGGTTTAGAGCCTAATCAATCTAGGTGGCTCATCCCCATGCCGAATTTTATCATATATAACAAAGATGATACAACCGGTGACATAAACCAAAACCCAGTGTAACAAAATATAAAATACATCACTTAAAACCATGCCTTATTGGGTTTTTTATTACAATAATAGCAATCACTTTATCATAGCTAAGATTAGCTAAAAAATTGCTCTCCATACTCAAAATTGCTAACCTATTCAATCTTTCTTGACTCATGGTAGACCGCATATATGACTTCAACAACTTGAATAATGATCAAGAAATAAACAAACCTAAACTAAACAAAATGACCCTAATCTAAAAAACTAAACTGAACAGTACAGTTAGCATAACATAAAACAAATAATGAAGTAACCAATCAAACAAACCTAATACAATGACTAAATGAATAAACTGTGATAATTTCCTACCCATAGATTATTGAGATAAATAGCCCAAAAATTATGAGTAAACAATCCCTAAACAAACAAAGAAATAAATAATAAATTAAACTTATAAACCTAAACAGTAAATCGGTAAACATAAACATACCACAGGTCTAAAGCAAGTCAGCAATCGAGTGAGAGCCAGCAGAGGGCAGAGAGCGGGTCAGCAAGAGCCAGAGACCGAGAGAGTAGGAAGACGACTCAGGAACGAAGCCGAGAGCCAGAGACAGTACACGAGGTCGAGAGCGTGGAGAGCGAAAGGTTAGGTCAGTTCAGAATTCAGAAATAAATGATAAAATGAACCCACCTATGTAGTGTTGGGCTTGAGCAAGTTATACCCATGGGCTCTTTGCTTCCTGGGCCGGCACCCATCTGGCCTGAAATTGCACCTTCAATTTCTTCAATTAACACTAGAGATGGGCAAAAACCGATCCCGGGCCGGTCCCAATCGGTCCTCACCTTATAGGCAACGCACGCTTATAAATACCCATTTGATTAGGGTTATAAACACCCAAATAGGCAACGCACGCTTATAAATACCCATTTACCATGTGTATGTAAAATGCAATTAGAGCTTAGCAAAGGGCAATTAAAAGAGACGCCTCGATCTAGACAAAAGGGTTTAGTAAATAATCAAGTAAAAATTACAGTAATAAATTTCAAACTCAATAATGAAACATTGAAATTGAAAAGTTGGAGATGAAAAATAGAGGGGTGAGAGAGGCCTTTTATATAGGGTTGATCGTCCCGGGGTGGACGGGAATAGTGGCAATTGACGACTGGAACCTGAGCCTGAGCGGGTGAAGCTGATGTCGTTTACTCTTGATTGCTCTTACACTTGGGCATCGGTTTCAGCTTCGACTTGAGCAATAGGCTAGATGACTGGACTTGGAGGAGGACATGGGCCCAAGTCAAAAATTGAAATATATAATATTTATATATGACAAATTTAATAAATAAACTCATATAATTCGTAAGATTTAAACCTTAATCTTTTGAAAAGTCGAACACATGAACAACGTTAGGCCAAAGGTTATTTATTATATATTTGTTAGAACATCTTTAACAAATTATTCAAAATGAAGATTTTTGAATTTTATTTTTATGGATTTTCCAGAACGTTCTCCAAAATGGAGAAAAATATATGAATTCTCCAAATTTGAACTAGAAGAATACTCGCGCAATGCAGCGAGATAAATCTCGATTTTAATGTTTAGTTTTTATTCTTTGTCTCTATCGATATAATACGATTTTATATGGTTTTGAGAAAACGGTAATGTTTTTATTTTTAAATGAAATATAAATTTGAAAATAGTATAAACTTTTGAAAAGAAAATAGATCGATATTAGTATCAAATTAAATATTTAACAATACTTTTTTGTATAACTTCTTTAAATCAATTTTTTATTAT